GGGACTCTTTTGGCTCCGCCCACACGACCCAGCCAATCGGCCTCAAGAGCAGGAGGAGTGGGGGGGGGGGGGTTTGAGAGGCTCACCTGAGCCGGTGGTGGCAGTTGGGCTCTGAGGGAATTCCTGAAGAGCTCCTGTGGTGCTGCCTGTGTGTGTGTGTGTGTTCTAAAAATAAAGTTCATTTCTGCTTGACAAGTGGCTTGTGAATTGTGCCCAGCCAGACTGCGGCATACACTGTCATGCAATAACACTGAATCCTTTCCTGTTTTATGTTGTGTAGTTGTGCACATCTGCCTTAGTTATCCATCTAATCAAACCACAGATCCTTCAGGACAGAGACAGTGGAAGCTCTAGATTAATCAAGAACCCATAAATTTCAGATTCAAAGCAGTATGGCATGGGCCTCCAAACTAACGTGCATAGGAATAAGTCCACACATATCAGATTCAACAACCCTAAACAGCCTAAGCACCGACTGTTTCGTGTCAAGGCAGAGATGTGTTCATCTTCCCCACTGTACACTGAGCTCCTGGTACAGAATCTGGCACATGTAAGTGGTTAAATTTGGGTGTTACTTAAAGACCTGGTTCAAGTCCCAGAAATCTTTTTTACTAGTTCTATCACCTTGAACAAGTTACCTGACTTCTTGGAGCCTGGTCTTCTCATCTATAAAATGGAAATAACAATACCCACTGTATCTGGTAATTTAAAGTAGTACACAGTCAATGTGTCCTGGCCACAGGCTAGGACATTATTATTCCATAGTATTAAATCATTATTATTCTATAGTGTTAAATACAGGTCCATAATCACATATCAAAAACTCTAGAGACCAAAGTGTTCTGATAACAGATTTTGGGGGTGTTGGGAAGATCTGTGTATATAACCCCTTGAACAGAATCAGGGTCAGCACCCACAATCAAATATATTAATATTTTTGCAGTAAAACAGTACCTTAAGCAGGTAAATAAAGGCTATCAATAGTCTTGTACCAGTTCACTTCAGATCAAATGACAAATGAGTTATGAAAAACACTGGGCTTTCAGAGCTTTTGGGATTTGGGAACTGCAGAGAAGACAGGTAGGACTATATTCACAAAAGTACTGGGGGCCCCCATTAGGCAACTCTGTACCCACTGAGTCATCAAGGTATGAATGCTCACTCTGGTGAGGGTATAAGGCTGCAAGTTACAACGCTGAGGGCAATAATAAAGTTGTCAGGATGACTGGGAAAGCTGCTCAGCCTCTCAATTCCCTCCAGGTACCACAGCCCAGGCTGCGCCTCCAGAACAGGTTACTCTTGAACTTTTCATTCCTTTTACCCAAAGAAAGAGGGAGGAGGGATAAACAGGATGGCTGGAGGGCAGTGCGGGAATCTACCTCACTATCTTTCCCTTCTTCAAGTTTTAAATCAAGGAAAACAAAAAAGAGGAGTCCAGATTATTAAGGACAGCCATATTCAAATTTATGGGGGTGGGAGTGTATTTTTATTTTTGATTTTCACATAATCTAAAAAAAGCCTTATGAATGAAAAGTCTCTTGTCTCCTTCCAGGTTCCCGCAGTCACTGTAATCGCACTCCGGTGGTATGGCGCTGGTGGTATTCTGGAGTATGAGTGTGAGGAATGTATGTGTGAGGAATTACCAATTTCTCAACCCCCAACATGACTTCTACTGCAAGAGAGTCCAAGGCTAGTTCACTAGATTATCAGTGGTAAGTTAACAGAATTCAATATGACTCCCAATGAAGTCTGAGTGAGAAAGCTAAGAAAGGCAATATATATAAAGGGGTCCAAAAACAAACTCTAAACTAATGCCCCCACCATTCCCAAATTAGAAGCAAATTATTGGCCTCACTACTCTTCTCCCAGATGAATCACTAATGATTCCCACCACTGAAGAAAAAGTGCTTACTGCAGAGGTACAAGGTGCTCAATGTTCTAGTGCAGGACCAAAGAGGCTGTAAATCATCGGAGCACTGCCACATCCATCCATTTATATATTCTCTGTTGCTGCTTTTATGATAAAAGGGCCCAAACTGGTTGAATATTTACAAGAATAAACTATATGGCCCACAAGACCTAATATTTACCTATCTGGCCTTTGAGAAAAGTTTGCTGACCCCTGTTCTTATGAAAGAGGACTGACTAGGAAGTCAGAGAGACCTATATTTAAATCCCAACTCCGTAATCACTAGTAGAAATTACTTCCTATTTCTGGGCCTCTGTTACTTCATGTATGATATTAGAATACCACGAGCTGCCCTGCAGGGGTGTCATACAGACTAAATGAGATGAGCCAGATAAAATGTCTTATGCATAAGCAAGGAATAAATGGTAGCTATTAAATCATAATTAATACCACACACAAATTTGTCTATCATGTTAATAAATACTCAAATGTAAAGTTATTCAGGCTACAGCCAAATATTTTGTCAAATAAGACACTGGGCTGGCATTCATCTACCTTCCCTGTTAAGGAATAATACACAGAGTATATTGCTTTAGAAAGCCAAAATTACTTCACCTCTCTCCTCTTATTCTCTCTTTAGTCCTTAATTTAAAAAAAGAAATCAAGAAGCACAGCCTCAAAGTTTTGTTAATATAAAGCTAATTCCTTCTATTCGCACTGTTTAAAAACACTGAACAAAGCTTAAAATGTACCTCAGAATGAGTGAGAAATCCTGATCTACAATTAAGAGGAAAAATGGGAGGAGCCCAAAAGAAACGTTTCCAAAGTTTCAAGAAAGCAACCAGCAATACTTGATGAGTAGTGTGGGTTCCTGGGTCCACTCACGTAACCAGTACTTGAAGGCACCTACCGTTCCAGGCCTGGCTGTGGTTGGGAACACGACAGGCTGTCTCCACACCTGGAGAACCTAGAGACCGGGGCTACTCAGCACTGTGTGACATAAGAACCACAGGACATGCTCCTGACTGCAAAACCATCTGTGGTAAGTCATATTAGAACTTGAGGGCTCCTAAGAGATCATCTCACCTAACATCTGTACTGAACAAGCAGGTTCACCGAACTGTCCACGGTTACAAGAGAGTTCGTAGCAAACCCTGCGTTCCTGATTTGACTTCACAACAAGCTGTCTTTGCTTAAGAGTTACTTCTCAACAAGTCAAATCTTAATCTTTTACTTCTCTGTGACCCTGCCAATGATATTCTGGAAAAAGTACCCAATCCTCAAAATCCCAAATTCCTCTAGGCAGGGTGTCACTCCTTGGTTTTTCATTATGTTCTTCTTGTTTTATTGTATTGCACCCACCATAATTTTGTTCTGTGTACCAATCCTGCCCATTGGCTGAGAGTTCACAACCACTAACACCCAAATGTTGTGCACGTGGCAGGCATGTGGTAACTTTATATTCACTCCCTTATTTAAGGCTCATATTAACTTGTCCAATATTATAGATGGGGAACTGAGCATGGAGAAGGTACCCACAGTGAAGCTGACTCTATTAATAAGCATCCATGTTACCCCAATACCATCATCAACCTCCTTCTTCCTCACAAGAGTCTGTACATTCAAGTACCCTCCCTCCTTCCCACAGCCACATGGAAGCTTCTAAGAAAGGTTTCTTCCCATGTAGAAGGCACTCTTAAAAGTACTCTGCTTCCCTAGACTTCGCCTCAACTACTGAAAGAGCTGGGCTTATCTGAAATACTAAATTTCTTCATAGTGATTTTAAGTTTCCTGAGTCTGTTTTTAGTTATTCTCAGCCAAAAGGATCTTAATATGCACACGAATAAAGTAGTGGAGCTATAATTCAAACAGAGAGAAGGTGACTTCACTGACCTCAAAAATGTAACAACTAGACTCTCTTCTGACCTCTCATTTTTAACACTCCTACCATCCAGCACCAGTGCTGAGTCAGGAAAAACGCTCATTACTTCAGCCAATGGATAAAAAAAAAAAATGAAATTTAGCTAAGCTTCCAAAAACAGGTAGGATAAATTTTATATTCAGTTTTAAATGAAATATTAGGACCCTAGGTAGAAGCTTAGCAGGTCTAAAGCTTCTCTGCTTTTAAACAAGAGGTTTAACGTATTTGGGAAATAGTGTACGCTAGAGGAAATAAAGGAATCTTGGCTTATAAGTCCAAAACAATTTCATAAGACTGTGTCAATTAACAAAAGCACCAAAGATTTGGTTTCCCTAAATCCCTTTTACAATGCCTATTGCACCTATTAGCAGTCACACAAATTCTCGATCCTCCTTCCATCTGAGCCTGGTTCCAAGTAGGCCACCTCCTCTGTAAACTGAAAGAGAGTGTGTGGAGTAAGGGGATAGGTGGAAGAGGGGGCAGAGGGAGAACACCACTTCCCCACTTCAAGTCTTGTCTAGTTTCCATTCATGATAGCTCTTTGACTGGCATAATGATCAACCTTCACAACTCATTTGATGCCCACCTCTACCTCCATCCTCAAGGACACATGAAGAGCCTTAATCTTTAGACCTGAAGGATGTCTTCTGTGCCATTTCACATGGATCAAGAGTCCTTGACAACCCATTCTATTTCTGGCCAAGTACCCAGCAGACTTCAAAACAGTGACCAGAGGTAAAATGCTCCACATCCTATTTTCAACTTGATCCCCAAGAGAAAAATCAGTGAAGACACCTGTTAGTCGTGAAGAGCCACTCACCAAGGTCTCATGACTCATTCACTGCAAAACACAAAATACATTTTAATGTCAAGACTACAAATGCTTGTACACATAAAAGCCTCTCCTTATCTCTTCACTTGGCCTTTTCTCAAAGAGCTTAGACAAGAATTTTTTGATCTTCAACAAAAAAAAAAAAAAAAAAAATCAGAGAAAACTCTACTTGCTCTGGAATCCAGTTTTCAAAAGCCACAACCTGCATGACTGTCTTATTCGAAGTTCAGGAATCATGCTGATTGCTCACAAAGGATATTTTTTTTAGAGACCAATTCTGATCCACCAAGGCAGCCCAGCCACCTTCAAGAGTACCTTCCTTCTATAGCACAGCTTACCTTGTAATTACTAGAGTTCACCCAAGAGGTAGCGAGTCCATCCACAAGCTTATCTAACATGGTCTGGTCATGCTCAAGGTCAGCAGACTTCTGTTTATCTGAGAAATAGTCTATAAGTTCTTGGCCAACCTGCAGTCGTTTCCCCACATCCTTTTGCAACACCTGAGCCAGGCAGGACTCCATTCGAGGCTCCATGGTGGAATTCAAATCCAGATCCAGCAAAAGCTAGAGGGCAGTCAGGATGACTCCCTCCCGGTAGACGGACCCGGGAGGTTGCCTCTTTGTTTGCTGAAGGTTACTAAGAGCTTGTGTTTCAAAGATGCAATCCGGGGAATGGTAACAATGCACCATGTGTGTCTGAAGAGCAGCTGGTAGGATATTAAAAGTCCAATTTAAATAACTAGTAGGAGATAAAGGAGTGAGTGGCTGAGTGATGTTCTGCTACTGGGTCTGAAATACTTCATAATTCAGCAGTCCATTCTGAAAAGTAAGAGAACAACAAATTAGCACAGATAACATAACGCTCAATGTTGTAAAACACTAAATCAAGGACAAAGCAATTCATGCTGTAGAACCATTTATAATCACATGAGGAGTGCAAAGCATGAACACTTGGCAACCATATTGGAGTAATATAATTATTATTTTTATCAGGAAGAACACTGAAGCCCAAAGAAAAGAGCCAACAAGCCACACAGTTGGTAGGTTGATATTTTTCACAATCTCCCAGCTTGTAAATGCACTAGTCAGGAAAGCAAGCTTCTGCTTTGTTTATTTGTAGCTTAATTTTGCTCCCCACCAAAAACCTAACATTACTCTGTGTCTGAATCACTGTAAATGCCCCAGCTTATGGCATTCCTCTGAGTCTTCCAAAAAACTAAGTACCAGAAATGGGACAGGCTCCATAGACGACACACCACTGATCAAAGTCGCCAGCTCGGTTAAATTAACCAAAGCAAAAGGCAGCACACTTACATCACACTTCTTGCTCAGCACCTTTACAATGGGGGGAGAAGAAACCCCTGCTGCCTCCTCCCCACAAAAAAAAAAGAGAGAAGAAAGGAAAAAAAGGACACAGGTGCAAGTTCTGATCAGTTACTGACACAGTATTCTCAGTTGACAGCAGCACCATTTGGGTCTGGTGTTTTGTTATAAACTCGGATCCCAAAATCATGTTTGGACAATGCAAAACGCATGATAAGGGAGAAGTAACAAAACTGTGGATTTTTTTTCCCCCAGTGCTGGGGATCAAATCCAGAACCTTGTGCATGCTAGACAAGCTCTCTACCATTGAGCGAACCCCCAGCACTCCAAAACAGTTTTAACTAGATGTATTATACAATCTATCCAGTAACCTATAGCAAGCGGCTAGTACAATTCTGCACACACATTTCTTAATTCAATTTCTTCTCTCCTAAAATTATTTGATTCCTTTCATTTTAACATAAGAAGACCCATAGGAAACCCATCTTCAAATGCAGCACCTCCCTGACAAAATATGAAACAGGAATGTAGCTTCATACCAACAGAAAATATCAACTTTCATAGCTTTTAGCATATAATGTGGCAAGTACATTTAAAATTCTGTGTAGCGGAACTCTTTCAATCTGACAGTGGTTCTCTCCCTTTCTAATCCCATCATATGTCTAAGCTCAACATTAAAAGGATGATACACTACCCAAATCATAGAATCATTGTTCTGTTTTGAGTACTAGAGGTTGAACCCAAGGGCACTTTACCACTGAATTGCATCTCCAGCCCATTTTAATTTTTGAGACAGAGTCTTGCTAAATTGCCAGACTGGTCTTGAACTTGCATGCGCTACCACACCATGCAGAATAATAGACTTGTTTTGGATTGGTTTGGTTTGATTTTGTTTGGTATCAGGGATTGAACCCAGTGGTGCTTAACTACTCAGCCACATCCCAGCCCTTTTTATTTTTTTATTTTGAGACAGGGTCTCACTTGGTTGCTTAGGGCCTCACTAAATTATTGAGGCTGACTGACTTTGTACTTGCGATCCTCTTGCCTCAGCCTCCTAAATCACTGGGTTTACAGGCATGTGCCACTGCAGCTGGCTAGAATCAAAGACTTTTGATGTCAACAGGAATCATAAGACAAATCACAAAATGAGGAAAGCCCTCCTTCAAAATCCCAGCATGTCCCTGGGCACAATAGCATATGCCTCAGGCGGCTGAGGCAGGAAGATCATGAATTCAAAGCCAGCTTCAGGAACTTAGCAAGGCCCTAAACAACTCAGCGGGACCCTGTCTCTAAATAAAAATGAATGAATGAATAAATGAATGAATGCATAAATAAACAAATAAAATAGGGCTGGGGGTGTGGCTCGGTGGTTAAGTGCCCCTGGGTTCAATCTCTGGTGCCAAAAAAATAAAATAAAGTAAAAAACATGTGGCTATCCATCTTCTAAGCCCCTGCCTTTGTACGTGCAATGGGGTGAAGAGGAAAGACACTTAATAAGATACTATCTCACGGAAAAATTCTTCCTTAAACTGGAGAGGTATCTATCTTCCAGTCATTTCCACACCCTGGGAGTAGGCCCTCTTTCAGAGGGAAGATCCTCAAACACATAAAAGTAGTTATTAATTTTCTTCCAATTTGTGGTCCAAACAATTCCTCCAGTTCCTTCATGAGCTTTTTATATTAGACTAAGAAGGTATCAATGATATAGGCAAACTGGAGTAACCAATAGAACCTTTTCTTTCTGTGCCCAAAATTAGCCTAAATAAATAAATGTCAAGTAGATAGTAGAGGCAGATAAAAAATGGCCCACAAATTCTTTGCTACTCCTCTCCAACCCAGGTGAAGCCTAAGTCCTCTCCCACAGAGACTTGGGGCTGACCCTGTGAAGCAGGCAGAAGCTCATCAGCAATCCCTAGAGCTGGCCCTCTTAAATGCTCCCTGGGACTGCCATGTTATAGGAAGCTGGTCTAGCAACTAGAGCAAGAGGGGCCATATGGAGAAGAACCAATAGCTCCAACCAACAGTGACTATCAGACATGTTCCCAAGGCCATCTGGGGCCATCTAGCTGTTCTAGTCATCATCAGACAACACCATCACAAATAAATCCTAAGGAAACAAGCAGAGAACACCCAGCCAAACCATAGAACCATGAGAAACAACATTTCTTTGTTGTGTCAAGCACTAAGTTTGTGGTGATTTGTTACACAATAGCATAACTCTTACTCCTTCTTCCCCTAAAAAGTTATCTTCCATTGCAATGAAAAGAATCTCACATCTTTCACTCCTCCAAGGGGCCTAAAATCAACAGACATTCACCAACAGTAACACTACTAATGCCATTTTTAAGCGTCTCCATGAAGTATCAGGTTCTGTGCTAGGTGGTTTCTGCATATTACTTCTGATTCATCAACCAACTCTACAAAGCAGGTGTTAACTTCCCTACTTTATAGATGAAGAAACTGAAGTAAAGTAAGGGTGAGTAATTTTCCAAGGTTACCTGGCCATGTGTCTCCTTACTCCACCCTCAAACCCTTATTATTAGAAATCTGGCCTAGTTCTGTTCTGACTCAGGGAAAGCAGGCCACACTGCTGAGCCAGGAGCCACAGGCCAGAGAGCAGAGCCTTCACTCCTTAAGCAAACACTAGGTGCCTTCAAGCCTCTCCACTGTGGCTTTTTAAATACATATGAGAAAATGTCCCTTTCAAGGAATGTACAGGATTTCCAACAAATATGCTTCTAGAAAGTAATTATACAATAAAAGGTTAACACACTCAAAAGTAAGTCACAAACTCATATGTACAAAGAATGAAAAAGACTGGAAGCTTCAGGTATTAAGCGGACTGGGTCTTTCCAATCAATCAATCTCTCTCTCTCTCTCTCTCTCTCTCTCTCTCTCTCTCTCTCTCTCATTAAAAAGAAAAAAAATGGCATTAATAGTGTTACTGTTGGTGAATGTCTAGTCATCCTCTTCAGCATTTATTCTTACCTAACTGGGTTTTGGGGTATCTTTTCCCCATGCTTTTAGTGTTTTCTCCACCTCTACTTTCAAAGATATTCAAGGAATAGTAATCACAGAGTCCAAATTCCCAAGATATAAGAGTACTGGCCCCTGGCTCCCAGACACCTAGCTTCCATCTCTGAAACGAAATGTCATTAGTCTCCTGTGTATCCTTTAGAAAGATATTTAGCTTCCCAAGAAAATAAGTATTGTATGTGTTCTCCTTCCTGTATTCCCCAGGAAAAGTTTCCTAAGCATTTACAATTAAATCAAAAAAGCAGAAATCAAAACCATACAAAAATACAGGCAAAACATCATATAGCAAAATCTATAAAAACTTCATATTTGAAAATACATAAAACTGAGAAAACAAACAAGAAAGAAAAGGAGGAGGAGGAGTTGGAAAAAAAGAAGGACAAGAAGATGTAGAGGAGGAAGAGGAGTTAAGAGAAGAACCCACATCTTGACCAGACTCTCCACTAGGAAGAGTGAAACAAGGAAAATGAGGTCTGAAATCATCCCACAACTGGCATCATGGAGGTGACTGTGTTGAAGCTAAATAAAAGCTGAAGTTCTCATATGGAAGACATAATGGAAGGTGCTGGAATACAGAATCAGTCTCTGCCCTCAGTGAGCTTATGGATAAATGCAGCCCTGTTCACAATCTGACAGTCTGCTCTGTCATTATTATTCAAGTGTACTATACACAGAGACTTAGAGCAATGGTGACATTAGAAGCTACTCAGAATGTATTGCTAAAAAAAAAAAGAAAAGAAAAACACATTTTTACACATTTTCCAAAAATACAAGAGAGACATAATAAAGTTATGAAAGGATAAATGAGGTTAAAATAGCAAAGCACCACTTTTCCTTCTTTATTTATCAGAGTAACTTTTCTCCTTTAGCAAGATCCTCTATGATGGCTATAGAGCACAAAGGCATTGCACTGGTTACCTGGGAAAAGAGACACATTTCAGGTACTTCTGGAAAATGTCTCAATTCCTTTCAAATCCAATGGCAACTGCATGAGATCCTTTCATTTGCCAGGCCAACATTCTCTGCCTCTACTACAGGAGTTAAGTTCCAAGCATCTCAACTTTTCCCTGCCACTTATCTTCGTTTTTAGGTACAAACTAATAAAACCTCAAGATCATGGTCCTAATCACTCTCCTTTATAGCAACTTTAAAAATAGAAATTAACCAAGGAACCTTTACAAAACAACAGCCTAACTCTGCTGCAGGCCAACAGGAAGATGTTAAAAATTACCAGCATCAACAATAATATGACAGATAAGAAAGATAGCTTAGTGAAATAAAAAGAGCAATAAAGTTAAAAATTCTGGCTTCTGTTCTCCGCTCTGCCACTTCCTGGATGACTTTGGGAAGAATATTGTCTCTATGTGCCCTAGACAAGATCAGGATGGAAAGATTTACACAGGGCATTTTTCTAAAAACAGCTCCTATCTCCATCTCCTTAATTACCAAATCTTTCCTGC